CAGACGCTCCACGCCAGGCTGGGCGCCGGGCCCGCTCTCCGCCCACGGGAGGCTCGTGTCTGGCCGGCCGGCCGCCAGCGCTGTCCCAATGGGAACGTCTGTGCCCAGTCCTGCTGCCACCTCACGTTCCTTGTGAGGCCTCTGTCCTTTCAAGCAGAGCAACCGTCACCTGAAGAGAAAAGCCACACGGAGCCCTTTTATCCAAGTGCGGGGTCTGGTAGGATGCCCACAGTCCCGATGCCGGTGCCCACGGGGCTGGCCCCTGGGTCCTCGGAGCGCCAGGTGGAGCCGGGACTGTGACCGCGGCCCTTCCCACGGGGCGTGTTTGCCTTCTCACTAAGGCGTGCCTGTACTTCTCACTAAGGATACCTGGCCGGGGGGACGGGAGAGCGGGTGGCTCTCAGACCTTCTAGGCCCTGAGACACCTGACTTCCCCGCAGACACTTAGTGTTCCTTTACCGTGAGAGCCACATCAGAGCCACGGCGAGTCGGGGGGAAGCGGCGCCTCCCGCCTCCTCTCGCCGTGTGGCCTCCCCGGGCGGGCTGCCCTCCGCTCCCGGCCCGGCACGCACGCCTGCCTGCGTCCTAGGCGACGTGCTGCGTCCTCCCATCCCGTCTTCTCTGTCACCACCCGCATTTTTGCACAACACGTGAGCGTCCAAGATCCGTGTGCCGTCGCTTCAGGAACAGGGCGACTTGCACACTCACACCTTCTCGAGGAAGCCGTCCGAGCTCGGTCGCAGCAGCGCAGTGGAAACAACTGGCATGCCGGGAGATGGGTGGCTATAAGTTGTATCCCAAGTTCGGGGTCACCCCGTGGCCACGGAAAAGGGTGAGCTAGCAGGATACCCCACTGACACGAGGGTCTCGAAGGCGTTCTAGGACAGCACGAGCTGAGACCCCGTGTGAGACTCACGCTGGCCTGCGAGACCGCGGCCTGACGAGAAATACATTGTGCTTTGCCCCCACAGACCTGCAAAACCCCATGGGGCCGGGGGTGACGGGCGCGTCTTATTACCGTAGGGAGCGCTGGGAGCCGGCCTCAGCTGATGCTGACGGGTGACTCAGGGTGGGGCCTCGTCACGTGGCTGGTCCCCAGAAAGACCGCCTGAGCGCGGCCTGCAGCTTTCAGCCCCATCCCAACGGCCCCGCAGGTGCGGGAGGGTGGCACCCAGAGAGGATGTGCAGCTCCTCACGCTTCCCCACGCCTGTCCCGTGCGCCCCCACCCTTTCCTGTGAGCCCCCTGCCTGTCCCATGCACCCCCCCGCCTGTCCTGTGTGCCCCCCCACCTGTCCCATGTGCC